GTTGGGAGAGATTGCCCATCCATTAAGAAAACTATGTTAGCAAACACTGCAAAAAATGTCTTTAAGTCGGGAAACATTTCATACAGAAGCCTCATTTCACCTTGCAGCATTAGAGGACAATTTTAGTACCTCACACACCAACAGACCGGCACCCTCACAGCTTTTGACTCCTGCACGTCCGCACAGACGGCCACAAACCCCTTGATCTTCGGGCTTCGAGTGCCCAAACCACAGGGTGAGGCAGTGAGAGGCAGTGGGAAGCAGTGGAGGAAGGAAAGAAGGAAAGAAATAAGGAAGGAAGGAACTGCGCTCCGCCTTTCCCTGAGGGCAGGAGCCTCGCGCGCGGCTGTTGCCCCCGTAATGGCGGCCAACGCCTACCCTGAGGGAGGGGGCGCGAGGCAGAAACGGCGCGAAGCAGGAAACGGCGCGAGCGAGAAGCGGCGCGAGCGCCCACGCCCTCAATCCCCGCCCGCGCGCGCCTCCCCGCCCCGTGCGCTCGCTGCCTGCGCCGCCGCCCCCCCCCCCCGGCCCCGCTCGCGCATGCTCGGACCCGCCCAACCGTCCCGCGCTCCGGTTTGAACTCCTGAGGGGAGCGCGGCCGCCATGGACGGGCGGCTCTCCCGCATCCCCGTGCACTCCCGGCTCCACCGCCCCGAGCCGTCCGCAGGTGAGTGCGGGGCACGGACGGGCACCCGGGGGGCACGGCTGGCGGGGTTCGGCCGAGGGGTGCAGCGGAGCGCCGGCATTAGGGTGCTCCATCGCTGCCTGGCTACGTGGTGTCTGTTCCAAAATCTAATTACAAGCTTTATTCCACTGTTTGGTCCCTGTTTAGGACTTAAGTTAACGCTCAGCCGGCTGTGTGTACCCTCCACCGGCTAAAGGCAGCGGCCCCTTGATGCGAAAGATGTTTCATTCACTGTCTCTTACTTTTCTAAATCTTTAAACTCTGCTTACAGCACTTTATAGCATTTTATAAGCGGAAGGCACCCAGGATTAGCGTTAAAAACATGGGAGCTGAGCTGTATCGGTGGAAACTGCGTTGCTCTAATGTAAATGTGCGCATGGGTATTTAATTTGAAAAATACTTAACTTGAGGGAGAAAAAGCAACTTCCTAAACTCACTGAGTGAACAAAGCTTTTTATACTTAAACGGTTGTGATTTAAGAGAAATAAACTCTACATAAAAAGCTAGTTTTCTACGTTATTTTAGTAGCTATTCACTCGTAGCAAAATATGGAGGTCTCTTAACAGAATTTCATGGGCTGTGTTTGTTTTGCTTCCAGCATTGAACAACAACCTTGTGGCACGATGTCTGCTTGATGTTGAGACTTTCTTTATATTGTGTATTATCATTTCAAGTTCTCATTAGTGCTAGCCTGGTGATTGTATTTTAACACTCTATACATCTGACCTGTTTCTGGCTTATTCTGGACCCTTGGTCCTGGGTAAAACTCGAAGTCTACTCTTAGTTAATTCTACCTCTACTTCTATCTAGAAGTCTCCATTCTAGCCAGATATAACTGCTTTACCTTAAAGGCTTAAGAGACCTTAAAGCAGGTTACTTCTAGTCTGTGGTGTTTTCACAGCTGTCTTTTTCTCACAGAATTGCAAATGAATTTTCTTTCAAAGAGAAAATTTGTCAGCACAACATCAGAGCCAGGGCTCAGCGTGGTTCCCAGTCTTCACTTTGCCTCAAACGTTCCAGCAGACAGTGTCTTCAAGCCTGCAAACCAAGGGTAAATCAAAGCAAAATATTGATGGATTTATTTGGCAGATGTCCTAAAGATGGCTCATTTTGCACATTTTGTCAAACTAACAGGCTTGGTGATCTGCAAGAACATTGTAGTCTTCTGGTAATTTCATTTTATCTCTCTTTTAAGGTTGCCTAAGTCTGAGAAGAAAGTGGAACCAGTTTCAAAGAAGATAGCGGCAAGACGGTATGTGCCTCCCATCTCTGTTAGTTGTCCTTGTGCTGTGGGGTTCTCCTGTGAAGGCTGGTGATGAGCTCTCATCCATGTGCAGCTTTCCTGCCAAGTTTGCTAATTAAATCTGTTGGTCAGAACAAATGCTTAAAAAAGGTTAAAGGGAAATTAGAAGGTGTGCAACACTGGAATTTTTGCCCCTGAGTCTTTGTTCTTTAACTCCACAGCCCTCTCAGCAGATACCAACTAGAAGCAGAGCTGAAAAACAAGAATCAATTGGTGGAAACACTCAAACAACAATTAGCAAGAGCAGAGGTAAGGATAGGAGAGAAAAGTAAATAAATTGTTGAGTAATTTCTGCATTCTGATCCATACAGAGTCATGTTAAGGATTGTCTTGCTTTTATTCTTGTCTTCATCAGAATGTCTTTGTATTCTTCTGGACAAGTTGTTTGAGTTGTTTGTATCATCTGCTAGTTGTTTTCCCATCTGCTCAGCTCTGGAGAGGCCAAACTGGGAATATTTGGTCTGGTTCTGGGCTCCTGGTACAAAAGATATGTGAATGTACGGGACAGAGTCCAAGAAAGGGCCACAGAGGGACTGGAGGAAAGGCTGAGAGAGCTGGGACTGTTCAGGGACTTGTGTTTCAAACAGACCTGATTTTGTGGAATCAGGTTCAGAGTCAGAAATTGGCACTTCATTATTCCCTGGCTCTCAGAGGTATCTCTAGGACGCGCTTAGTACCACTTCTGTCACGCACAGGAGGCCCACCTGGCAACGTACAGCTGTAAAATCTCACTTTGTTTTCTAGTTCTCAATCTGTGGCATGATCATTCCTCTCATGTCACAGCTTGATTTTCTTAAGAGCCTCTGAGACTTTCTATGAAATGTTCCCAAAGCTTCTGACGCTATCAGGCAGATCACCCTAATCCACATGCTTATTGATCATCTTGGAGAATTGCATTCAACTTGGGAGGTTGATCAGCTTATCCAATTGCCTGGTAATATCTGGATAGTGTAGGGAATAATGCTGTGGCTTCAAGGCCTGACACACCCTTTTCTTCACAATGTTTATATGCTCCTTAGTGCGTGCATTGTTTACATAAATGAGAGGGAGCACAAGAAAAGATAGAGTTGCCTAAAAGGAATTCGCCCATGATCAGATTTTTCTAGTAATTGCTCTGGTGTGTGGATGTAATAAATGTATTACTCCTGTCAAGAAGCAGGAGCAAGGACCTGCAACAGCCTCATTTGCTGTGGTGGTAGAGACAGAAGGCAATGTCTGATTCTTGGTGCCAAGTGCAGTACTGTGAATTTGTTTGTGTCAGTATTACTAAGGAGAAGAAAATCTCCTTGGGAACTTGCCTCACTTACAACCTGTGTTAACCAGGGCACTCTCAAGTTAAGGGAGTTAAAGAAGGAGAATGAGAGGCTGGTCCATGAGGTTGAGAAGCTCAAGAAAATTCAGGAGACTTGCATGACAATTTTAGAAAGCAGAAACATCAATCCTGGTAAGGAGTTTGCACTTTGCTTACATCCTGGTACTCCTTCTCCAGAATGTTTTTTTTTCCTTCTGTTGTGACTATTCATAAGAAATTTGGACTGTGCTTCCTTTTTTAAGCAATACTGCTGGAATTCCGGGGTTTGGGGGAGTTTTTTGTGGCTTAAGTGAAGAACTGCTTCCTGTAGTAAGCCCTGGCCTGGATAAACTAACTTAGTATTTCTTGCTGTAGAAAGTCACTTTGAAAAGCTGTTTGTTCTCAGAGTTATGTGTATATTAGAGGTTCACTAATGCACCTCCTGAATTCCTTACAGGCAGCACCATAGAGGAGGAGAAAGAGATGCGTGCATGCCGGGAAAAGACAACAGTAAGAAAAGCTTGAACTGGTGTGCCCCCACCCTTCTCTCCTGATGCTCAAACAGCTGAGACTCACATTTATTTGCATCATATTAAAAGTCATTTTCCTTTTGACTCTTCAGATGCTAACTAGCAAGGTCACAGAGGAATTGATGCTATTTTGTCACAGAGCTGCACAAGAGAAGGAGATGCTTGAGGTAAGACTGACTCAACCTGGCAGTGAGCATCAGGCCCTCCGGGAGGTTATTTTGCCCCTCCCAATGCTCTTTTATTCCACATGAGCCAGATGAAAACCTGCAATATTCTACTTTTAATATAAAGGCACTTGTTAAGGAAACTGTTACTCCCCTTTTAAGTAGAGGTGTCCGCCAGCCTGGTTGTTATTCTGGAGGTCAGAAAATTGATTTGAATTGGAAACTGTTGCAGAGCAGTGACCCTGGCTAATCTCTGGGGAAACTGAGAAGTGTGTAAGCACAAGTGGCTTCAATAATTACCAATATAGAGACCAAAATAGTCGTTAAATTTCAGTTCTACAATTCTTAAGAAGACCTAGAGCTAAAATATAATTGTTATAGGAGACTTCCTAAATTTTGGCCATAGATAAATTTACATTTTCCACAAGCAATCAAGGTAAAAGAAATCCCAGGTTTATCTTAGTTCAGGAGGAAGAGCTCAGATGCTTTAGGACTTGGCTTTTCTGTTCCTTACTCTGGTGTTAGTAAAACGTGCTGTGCACTGACTTCACAGACAGCCATGGCCAAGTGGAAATCAGCACAAGAGGAGAACCAGCACGCCCTGGAGAAGCACTCCGACTTCCAAGCTCAAATTAAGGAATGGAAAACCAAACTTGAAGTGCTGGGGAAGCTCCTGGCAATGTGAGGCACGAGGATGGACTGGGATTTTTGCTCTTTCACCCCTAGTTCAGTGGTCCCTGTTTGTCAAGCCCGGTTCCTGCGTTTGGTGATCCAAACGCCGAGCTGTGACTGCTCCCCGGCGGGGTAAGGACGGACGGGGGGCCGAGGCAGCAGCGATGGCCGGTCAGCCTTGTGTCGGGCGTTCGCCGCTCTGCTCCGGTGTCGGGTGTTCGTGGGTTTAATTCAATAAAGGTGCTCCAAGGACGTGGGCTCAGCCGCGGCCGCTCCGGGAGGCGGGCGCCGGGGCGGGGCGGGGCGCTCCGGGGCGGGGCCGCGCCTGCGCGCGGGGCTGCGGCGGGGAGCGGCCATGGCGGCGGCGGTGCTGGGGCGCGCGGCGGGCGGGGCGCGGCGATGGCGGGCGCTGGCGTTGCCGCGGCGCGGCAGCGCTGGGCTGGCGGTGGACGACACGGTGAACGGGCTGAGCGCCGAGCAGCGCCAGGTACGGCCGGGCCGCGCCGCGCACGGGGGTGTGGCGGGGCGGACGGGCGCTGATTGGCCGCGGCCGGGCCGGGACGCCCAATCCCCGCGCGAGTGGCGGGGGCGCGGCGCCCCCGGACAGACGGCCCGCGGCAGTGACCGGCCCGGCCCGCGGCCTCGGCACGGAACGCCGCACTGCCTAAGGAACGGCCCCGGCCTCCGCCTGCGGCTGTTGGATAGGCGATAATCGGCAGAAACGTGATCATCAAAGGAACATTTCGGTGGGGTCGCGGCACATCCTCCCAAAAGGAGTGTTGCAGCTCTCCCAGCTTGCTCTCCTGCCCAATGGGGCACTTAAAGGTTTAGGGTAATTCTTGGAACTCGTTGCAGGCTGCAGCTTTGCTGCAAGGGGCACGCAGGGGCAGCACATCTCTGTTCTGGTGACCAGTGAGGGCAACCAGGGAAGGGCAAGAGCTGGGCCAGGGGAGGTTTAGGCTGGGTATTGGGAAAAGGCTCTTCCTCCAGAGAGTGGTCAGGCACTGAAACAGCTCCCCAGGGAATCATCATAGCCCTGAAGCTACCAGAGCTCAAGGAGCATTTGGACAACGCTCTCAGGCACAGGGTGAGATTGTTGGGGTATCCTGTACAGGGCTGGGAGTTGGACGTTTCTCTGAAAACACTGGGAAAAACAAGACTCTTACGCTGTCTTTAGTGTTAGTGTGTAAGGCATTACTTTATTCTTGTTCAAGACGTGTCTGTGTGGCTGACAAAATTCTGACCTCCACACAATCCCAAGACACAAAACTTTTTCACTTACACATATTTAGCAAACAAAAGTTTATTGGTTCTGAGTTGCATCATTCTCTTTATTAGTTAGTGTTCTGTCCTCTATTGGTTATTGATTTCTCACTCTTCATGCTTATCTGGCTGACTTTCTTTAGTCCTTTTATCATTTTTTCTCAAATTGGGAGTTTCCAGCCTTCTAGGCTTGAGTCTTGTCTGTGTCTTCTGGTTGCTTCAACATGTCTTTGAAGGGCCATAAATTTAAGATCCCAGATGTCCAATCTTCAACTTCCTTAGGCTTTATTTATTGGAGTTTTTCAGGATTAGTTTTAGCAAACCTAAGGTTTCAGTGATTTAATGATCAAAGTAAGTGTCTGTGAAAAAGGAACTTAACTAATGCTGACTACAAGTGGGCATGCTTACAATTAATTAAAACAGCTATTGAGACATTAGTTAGGAAAGTTATATAATTTCCAACAGACTGATGATCCTTGTGGGTCCCTTCCAGCTCAGAGTGTTCTATGATCCTTAGCTTTGCTGTGTCTGTGTGCAGCAGCAGCCAAGTGCTGACCATTCCAGATGTATTCCCTTCTGCCCCAGGACTTGGAGTGAAGGGCAGTGTCTTCCCAGGACTGTTCCACACAGGCTCCTGCTAGTGAAACACTGGAGCTACAGCCTCACTTTCCAGACAATTCTGATGTTGCAAGCACATGGATGTGCAAAATAAACTTACTTGTTCTTCTTTCTTGCAGAATTATTCCTTTCCACGATTGTGTTCGTGTTTATGGCCTTATCAGCTCAAACTGACATTTCTTTGTACTATTATATTCAACAGATGTAAAAGAAGATGCAAAATATTCATCTTGTTCCTATCTGTCTGATGGAAAAGCTAAAAAGAAAAAAAAATCAGAAATAATCTTCAGTAATATTGGTGAAATTGTGAATTAAAGGCAATATAACTGTTATAAACTGGATTAGGATGTCAGGGCTGCCTGTGTGACTTCGTCCTCAATCTCTAATTGATTAAGACTTTTTTTATTATGGTTTTAAGCTTGTCTTAATTTATTTTAAGCTCTTTGCCCAAGTATAATGCAGTCAGCTTTGTCACAGTGGAAAGATATCTAATGTCTTTTGGGGTTCTCTTTAGGTTTATAAATCTAGCAATGGAGAAAAAGCTTGTTTGCTAGTACTGGAATCCAGGGTCTGCGTGACTTTGGAAATGTAACATATCTTCTCAGTTGTAAAAAGGAGGATACTTAGGTTTTGGTGGTCAGAGAAAGACAGAGGAGTGTGGGCATATTCTGGTTTGTTGTTGCTGCCCCTTATACAGGTTCTGGTTTAACAGCTCAGGGGTTCAGTCTCTAAAACTGTTGCTTCATCAGAATTAATGTGTGGGAATAAAGAACCAAAAAGGAAAAAAAAAACATTGTTCAATATGACCATAAAATCAAGACCAAGTTTTTAAATCTTCCTGTTAAAAACATGTAAGATACTGTATGCATTTTGTTAGTATGCTTATAGACTTCTGTAGCATACATGTAAGTGTTCAGAGTATAAAATTTAGAAAAATATTTTGAGATTTTAACACTTGGTTCAATGAACATTCCTGGCTCTATCAAATTTCCCCACTGTAGAAGGTAGTAAGGTAGGTAATGTAGTTCTAGTTTGACACACAAACATGTTTTAATTAGTATCCCTGCTTATTGCAGGCATCTGCACGCCATTAAATGATGCTGTGAGCAGCTGTGGGATGGGTTAGCACATTATAAACTCAGTTCATCAGCTTCCAAAGTTCCCTGCCCAAAAATATGCCTGAAACCCCAGTGCAGGCAGGAGTTCAGGAACATTCTCTCATGTCAGGGTACAGTTAAGGTTAAATGCTGAGAGGGACTAAAGTACATGAAGTGCTTTTTAAAAGACTAAAGAAATTACCCTCTGATGTGGTATTTCAGCCAGTTACCTGAACCATGGATTTCCTTATGGTCTTGTGCTTCTGGGTTTGGGATGCTGGAACGGCCTGGTGAGGGAATGTTGGCAGGACCAGGGGAAGATGACAATATATTGCTGAGATGTAATGGATGTGTTTTTCCTCCCCTCTTTTCCCAGCTTAGACAGACCATGACAAAGTTCTGCCAAGAGCATTTGGCTCCAAAGGCCCAACAGATTGACCAGGAAAACGAATTCAAAGGCATGCGGGCAAGTATTTCATGTGTGGTTCTGAAAACCTCTCTGGGCTTTGATCTCTGCCTTAGTCCAGACAATCCCAAGCCACACCACAGGCACATGTGCATTAACTTTTCAAACTTAAAAGCCACAGAGAAAACCTTTTTTTGATTTCCTGTTTTAGCATTTGTTACCAACTTTCAGCAACCTGGGGCAGAACCCAGAGATAATCATAATAGATTGATAATGGTCTCGTTTGGATTCTTATCGTGGGATTCCTGCCTGTCTGTTCTGGCTCCTTCCCCAAGTGTGCTCTGTATGCTCCTGGCTCAGTCCCTTTCTTGGACATGAATTTCCTCTTCAGATTTGCTGTGAAAATATTGTGTACAAATGCTGAAACTTGCCTTTCTAATAAACCCAACAAATGCTGTGCCACAGGGTGCTTTGATTGATGGAAATGAGAGATCTGACTATTGGTTTTTATAAGCTCCACAAGACTCAAAAAGCTCTAAACATCTGCCAGCATTTCCTAGAGCTCTGATGTTGACATTTCCAGGGCTATATGTGCAGCTTTGAAGTGAAGTGTATAAATTTAGCCTGGCATTCCAGATGTCATCCAGAGCTATTGTATGATACTTTTTGAAGTCTCTGATAATTATTGCCGGACACCAAGGCCACGTGAGGAGCACTCACCTATGTGTCCACCACATAGCAGAGGAAAGAGGCAGCAGGGAGATGGCCCCACCAGGACACGTGTGGGCCTCCCTGGTGACAACATCCTTTGCTGCTGCATTTTGTCATGGCTGTGACATTCCCATTTTTTTAATCTCCCCCAAGTATGCTTACTTGGCTTTAGTTGCCAGCTCCTGTTTTACTGGAAGAGTTTTAAAGTGCCATAATTCATATTATGGCACTTTAGCTTCATATTTCCCAGGTTTTGGTAATGGATAGTTTACACTGTTACACAAAAATTTTCATTGGAGTGGGCAAAGAGTTAAATCTTAGGAGGTGTCCTTCCAGATGTAAATTTAGGCATGTGAATTTTCACTGAATTCCACAAACTCCTCCTGTGTGTAGCATAACTAGTGTCCTTAAATATGGGTAGTTTCTCAGTTCTGAGGATAGAGCTGCACCGGGGGAGGAACAGGAATTAGGGTTGTATTTGCCTCATTCTTGTGATATCTCACAGATAAACGGATGTGTCCAGCGAGCTACCTGGGGAAAGTTGTTATGCTGATGCCCAGGCTGCCAGTTTGTGCTGATTGCTTGTTCTATATTTGTAGGACTTTTGGAAGAAACTTGGAGAATTGGGAGTTCTGGGAATCACAGCCCCTGGTAAGTTTCTTTCGATCTTTTGCCTTCTGACGGGTGACACTTCAAACAAATGAGAGACCACTTAAATTCTCACTTTCCAGTTCACAACAGCCTTCCTTGTCTGTGATGTGGCATTCATTTTGTCCTATCTTTGTGTTTAAAAAAACTTCTCAACTGTTTTTCTTCTTCTCTGACTTTGGATCCTTTTTCATTGTTAGACAAAATGCCTTTCACAATTTAAAAGCACTGCTCAGAAATGGTTTCTCCAGATGTAACATATGTAGCTCAAACGTATTTGTGCCTTTCTGATGTGAAGCAAGTTTTGAAGAATGAGAGCTAGAGATAAAAGTATCCCAGAACAAACATCCATCTGTAATGGGAGAAGTTAAAGGCTCTAAAATAATGCCCTGAAAAGCTGTGATAAGTAATGGGGAGTGACCACAGCCAACCAGTCGGAAAAAAATCAGGGGAAATCTTATTCAGCCTTGAGCAGGTTAGTGAAAAGTGTTGTGATGAGTGTTACAGATGAGTGTGATCGTGCTGAATGCACCAAGGCAGGGTAATGAGGAGAAACCCTTAGTGGAGAAAAGCGGCTGATGGGGCCTTTCTTTCCCCATGGAAAAGTCTGTTTGCTGGATGTGGCTGTGCAAAGGCTCTGCAGAATCCAGCTGAATAGCAATGCGTCCGAATAATGCCTCTGCCTCGCTTTCAGTGCTGAAAGACTCTGCATTTCTGCTTTCTCTCTCTCCTCTTCCCCATTTACTGCTGCTCCTGTTTTTCCTCACTCTTACCTTCTTTCTTCTTTGATGTTGTGCCTGAGGCTTACAGCAGTTTCCCACACTATAAATAAGCCATCCCCTCACAAGTCCTGTCCTTCTTGATTTCCTCAAAGGTTTACCTCTCAAACCCTCCTATGCCCAGGATTTTTCACTTTATTTTGGATTGTAGAGTTGCGTGTTTCTTTATTGATGTTGGTTTTGTTGGAGGAGAGTGGGATTTAGGATGTAAAGATCGTGTGGAATCTTAGGAGGGTGTACACAATTAAATGGCATGTTTGGGTGCCAGTGCATCAAGTCTATTAAGGGAACATTTTGAATAACAGTGCTGTTTGATTTCTTCCTAAAACTAAGATAAGTGTGGTGTTTGTAACTTTCCATTTGTTTTATAAAGTGCAAAGTGAAGAAATGTAAATATATCGTTTCCATGGAATGATAATACAGGCATATCATGTACAAAGAGTAGCTTTGAAAGCACAGCATGATTGGAACACACCATGGTTTGTGTTATATGAGGAGATGTCCGGCAGGATCATTTTCCCGTTCCTCTTTCAGTGCAAAGCAATCCTGGATTTCTGCTGCACACAGTTACCTCACCTTTCTTGAGGCAAAAGCACCAAACCCAACCATTATATAGGAATTCATTAAAAACGCTCTTGTTTTGGCATATATGAGAAATTGTTAAGCCCATCTTTTATGATACTGACAGCAAACCCCTAAACCTGGGTTTGTGGTAGGGAGAGATTTTAGAGGATAAAGTGCTCTGCAGATAAAAGCAGGAGTCAAAATGAGGGACATGGGAGGAAAGGCTGTATGTGATGCCAGTGGCTGTGGTGTTAATTTGAGGAATCTGGGACAGCAGCCCCTTGGAGCTGTGCCCTTTGGTCACTCTGAGCACAGACAGAGATTTGCCCTTACCTTGTTGCTCTTGCTTGCAGCCTCCACATTGATGACAAGTAAGTGCTCCAAACTTATCTCCCCAGCTGCTTCTTGGCATTCATGTCCTGTTGTAGTGCTTCTCTTAGCAGTACAACCACTTGCTTCCTACCTGGAGAACAAAGCTTTTAGGTTGGGAGGTGACTGTATTTGTGTGTCTATAAACATGTTTAGAGGGACGTGTGTGTATGTTTATGTAGGCTGTTCACTCCTCAAGGCTGTTACCTATTTCTCAGCCTTCTCTTTTTACCTGCCATCTCTCTCCCTGTTCTATTGTGTGATTTTAATCTTTACTATTAGTTTTAGGCTCAACTCCATGTGCCTAGCTGGGGTGTCAGTGCTGCTCTGTCTTGCTTTATGCTCTCTTGAAACCTACATGCTTGTCACTGACGAATTACATTTATGGATCATTCTCGTTCTCAGTTAGCCACTCATCAAAATTCTGGTGTCCTGCACATTTGTAGGCTTAGAAAAGTCCTTAGTGTCATATTTTTGAGCAGTTTGAGAATTTCTCATTTGTTTAGGGGCAAACATACATGGATTTTACAAACCTTCCCTTTGTTCTCACCTTAAGGAGGTTGCAACTTGGTGATTTAATCTTTGTGACAATACTAAGGTTGATAAGAAGGACTCATTATTACTCAATGTCAGTACCATGTTCAAGATGTGTTCTTGTGCATGTTCTACATATAAACTATGTTTTACGAGTCAACTATGGATTATGCTGAAGACAAAATATCCCTGTGACTTTAAGATGAGAAAAATGAAATTCAGGAAGGATAGGGAAAGCCAGAAGTGCTCAGCTCAGGGATGGCAACAGTCAAACCCAGAAGCACTCTCAGTGTCTTGGATTTCATTGGAGACTGAGCCCAGCCCTGGGATCTTGTGCACGTGGTGGGTAACGTGAGCTTTTTGCTCTCCTCCCAGCGGAATACGGTGGCTCTGCCCTGGGGTACCTGGACCACGTGCTGGTGATGGAGGAGATCTCCCGAGCGTCAGCGTCCGTGGGGCTCAGTTACGGGGCCCACTCCAACCTGTGCATCAACCAGCTCGTGCGCAACGGCAACGAGGCCCAGAAGCACAAGTACCTGCCCAAGGTATGTGGCTGGAGGAGGGGCAGCACTGCAAAGCGTTTGGGTCCTGGCTGCAAGGATGGCATCTTTTAAGCACCAGCAGATTTCGGTGACCAAACCTTAGGAAATACTGAACGTGCCAAACTTGCCCTTCTCTGGCTTGTCAGTTTTTATCCTATGAATCCTCATCCCATGCCCGTGTCCTTGTCTGCAGGCAGCACAGCCCAGCTCTCTGGAGCTGTGTTACTAAGGGAGGCTTTGAGGTGACACTGGAGAATATTCTTTCAAAGTCCCAAATCACTTTGAGATCTCTGAATGAAAGTCACTGCTTTCCTATTTTATATTCTCCATTTCTCACTGCCGAAATGCTTGGTTTGGCTGTTAATTAACTACATGTGAAACTTCATCATCACTTGGGGCAATTGATGTTGCAACTCAGAAGTGCATTAATTAGATTTCCGTTTTTAAATGCATATAAAAACAATGAACACATTGAATCCCAGCTACTGAGATTATCAGTGAAATTATCAGCACAAGAAACTTGATTTAAACAATATGCAAAGTACAGTGTCACTTCCTCAAAGCACTGTGCAGCCTGCAAATGTGTAACCCCAAATTGTCCTCCTTCCTCAGGTGTATTTTCATGCTTCATTCTCTGCCTTTCAATGAGATGTGAAGTCACTTCAGCTCTGACTTGTTTTGGCTCCTGACAGAGCACTTTAAATGTACTTAACTAGATTTGAACACTTCATTGGGACTTCTGTAGCAATGCACTGATGGACTGAATTGGTTGAACATATTTTAAGCATTGAGTCGTCTTTTAAAAAAAAAGTAGAGATCAAAAGGAGGAGAAGATGGATGAAAGTACACAGGGAGGGGAAAAAAGGCAAGGAGAAAAGGGCAGGATGAAATAACAGTGAAGCAGAAGCAACAGCTCTGCCAGAGCCTGGTGTGAGCAGGCACAAGAGGAGGGTCCATCTGCTGTTGTGGGGTGAGTGTGGGGGGACTGGCCCACGAGAAGATTGCAGAGAACTTTCCCATCCCTTTTCACCCCCTCATTGGCCTTCTGTGTTCACCAGCTCCTGTTTGTGTAAAAGGGCAGCAGAAAGCCCAGGCAGGAGCTGGGGACAGGCATATGGCTGCCTGCATGGTTCCTTGGCACCTTCCTCATGTGTTGTGCAAGCAGGGCTGTGCTTGTGTAGCTCAGACAGAGCTGAGTCACCCTTCTCATCCCTCTGGGATTTGGTTCTGTTCCTTCATGCAGTGCAAGGGAGCTCCTTGCTCGGGCTGTGCCGGGAACTGCAGCTCTTGTTCCTGCGGAGAACAGCGACTGTGGAGGTTCAGTGCAGGAAAACAGGCCAGGGGACTAAAGAGGGAACACAAACCATGCTGCTGGTCTTCATCTTTTGCTAATATTTGTCCTTTCTTCCAGCTAATCAGCGGGGAGCACATTGGAGCCTTAGCCATGAGCGAGCCAAATGCTGGCTCTGATGTTGTGTCCATGAAGCTGAAAGCAGACAAGAAAGGTAAAGCCTGTCCTGTGCTGCCCAGGGAGGTGCAGGAGGCCACATCCCTGCAGGTGTTCAAAGAACATTTGGCCATGGCACTCAGTGCTCTGGTCTGGTTCACAAGGTGGTGATGGGCCAAAGGTTGGACTCGGTGATCTTGGAGGTCTTTTCCAACCTAAGTGATTCTGGGAAGCCTGTTAGGGAATAAATGGAGTGGGAAATACCAGCGTTGCTGTCATGAGCTAACAGATTTCATCTCTTGGCTTCCAGGAGACTTCTTTGTTTTGAATGGGAACAAATTCTGGATCACCAACGGGCCGGATGCGGATGTTCTCATCGTCTACGCTAAAACTGACATGAACGCTGTCCCGGCCTCCCAAGGCATCACCGCCTTCATTGTGGAGAGGGTAGGGTCAGTCATTCCCACAGGGTTTTAAAGCAGAATCCTTCACCTTAACAGCTTAATTTGGAAGTCAGCTGGTTTTCCTTCCATAGCTGCCAGCCTCTTCCTCAAAGACAAACTACTTTCTGCCTTTCAGGCAGGAAAGGAACATTTAATAAAACAGAATATGAGATCAGTAAGCCTTCTGATGGACATAACTTCATTATTAGAACAGTTCAGTTCCAGGCAGAGCTTGCAACTCTTGCTGTAGGAGAGCCTGTGTTGGTAGCTGTCCAAATAACTTATTTATTTGCTGTTTATGTGCATTAGAAAATGGGTGCACAGGGTTCATATGTGTGTGTTTCTCTGTCTATTTGCTTTCTCTGCACTTGCACTTAGACCTGGTCTTGTTCTTAGGTCATTTTATCTCCCTCCTGGCACCCTACCCATGTTCCTGTGGTCAGGGGAATTTCACAGATCTCTCATGAGGTTTTTTTAGTCCGTTGGAACTGAGATGTGAAATGTATTTTTACTGCTTTGACTTTGCAGGGAATGCCAGGTTTCAGGACAGCCCAGAAGCTGGATAAGCTGGGAATGAGAGGGTCTAATACCTGTGAATTGATCTTTGAAGACTGCAAGGTCCCCGGTGAGTTGGGTTCAAATCATGGTGGTTTCCTGTATTCTTGATCAGATAAATTGGATCACTAATTACACACATGTTCAGCCTGTGACCTGGAGGGCTTTGCAGATGCTTATCTCTCTCTGGCAGCCTCTGAGGGAGCTGATGGGACTGGAAAAGTGCAATCTGCTGGATTGCAGGGAGGGAGCACATAGTTTGTCAGGTCACTGCTCTTTCACCCTTAACGGACCTAGTTCTTAACCACAGCTTCTCCAAAGCCTTGCTGAAGTTTCTCAAGAAACTTGTTTCCATTAGAGCTCCTGTCTTCTAGGGAGGTGAGCTACTTTGCCCTAAAGGTTTTTTTCACTGGAGACTTTCCAACAGGCTTTGTAACACTTCTGAGTTCTTTTGGGGCCAGGGCTTGAAAATAGACATCCTTTCCCCTGTTAGTTAGCACAACAGAGGCCTCTGTAATAGCCACTTGAATAACAAGTATTTGTTATTTTAGTGGCAATTTTTGTTGATAGAAAAATTCCAGCCTTGTTGGAGCAAATGGAGAAGATGTCTTATCATAAAAATCATGATTGCACATTTGCAGAGCAAGGAGCTCTCCTGCTCCCCATATACACCTTCAAAAACTAAAGTGGAAGAGTTTCAGCTGAAACCTAACATTTCTAACTGTGTTGGATCCCTCCACCCTGAAATCGTAAAGGCCAGTGCCCCGGTGCTCTGATCATGTCCCAGGAGTCATCCACAGGGAACAGCATGTTCTTGTGGAAAGGGGATGATGACATGCACATCACTGCAGTGTTGGAAGTTAATGCATTTGGCACTCTGGCCATTAATGCTCCTTCTAATCTTTGGCTTTGGAAGCTGAAACAGTTCTTTTCCAGGAAATTTTTCAGGCTATTCAGTCATTTTTTATAGAATCCCAGGATGGTTTGGGCTGGAAGGAGCCTTAAGCTCTTCCAGTCCCACCCCCTGCCGTGGGCAGGGACACCTTCCACTGGCCCAGGTTGCTCCTCTCCCCAGTGAACACAGGCCCTCAGTGAGCAGCTTGTCTAAGTTTTTCACATAAATAAATCACTTTTCCTTTGCTCTTTGCAGTTGAAAATGTCTTGGGGACACTGAGCAAAGGAGTCTATGTTCTGATGAGTGGATTGGACCTGGAGAGGCTCGTGCTGTCTGGAGGCCCCCTGGGGTAAGGGATTGTCATCTTTTATAGGTTGTAAGGCCAGAAGGGTCCTTGGTGATTGCCAAACCTGGTGGGGATCCCCTGGGGCCTGGATAGGATGGATCCTGGATGGAGAATTATGTTACTGGGGCAGCAGAAGAGAAGAGGCTGGGTCAGATGTAGGAAGGAAGCAAGGTGTGAGGAGGTGCCATGGCTGCTGGGTGTCCCAGTCAAAACCAGCACTGAACTCCAGCACCAGCACAGCTGCCTGACTAGACTCTCCTGAAGGTGCTCAGGGCCTTCCCAGCAGCCACTGCTCACTCAAATGTGCTCTGAGCTCTCATCTGTGAGCTCTCAGCTCCTCATGCAGTGGTTTTCCAATTTGAAAGCATCTCTGTGGAGCCCCATGTGAGGGGCAAGGGATGAGAGAAGCAATGCCAGAAAGAACGTTTGCAAGTCTGCCTGCCAGTGTCCACTGATCCTCAAGAGCTGGCTTTGGAAATTATCAGTCTTGATAAAAAAAATTTCCAGAGGTATAAATCTGCTTCAGTCCCCAGTTGCTGGCTTGTGTATCCCTGTGTTATTACTCAGGTTATTATAATCCGGATCCAACACATTTGTGTTATCAATTCCTTAGAATCTAACACACTATCCAGAGATTCACAAACTGGTTCGTTCTTCATTTATTCAATCCTTAAGCTCCCTAGTAATTATTGGCACCCCACAGTCCTTTTGTCCTCCTGAGTGGTCTCTCTGGGCTAATCCTCTTGTGGAAAGATCAACTTCCACAAAGCATGAGGAGGATTTTTTCCCCTCCTTGTTCTTACCTGTGCTTTTTTTCTTACGGTATTGACTGTTCTTCCTTGAGTTGAGGAACTCTGGAGGTAAGAGGAGCACAAACTGGTTGTGGTTGTGAGAAAGCTCTTCAAATCTCAGTCCTCTGAATTAAAAGGTCAGACCTTCCCACAAGTTGTCCCAAATGAGCACTGGAGAGAAATATGGGACCCGTTTGGATTTTATTCTTGGCCTTGTTTGAGTGGAGCTGTAGGAAGACAGCAGGATATCACTTCAGCTCTGAGAACCTTTTTGCCTTGGGTTACATTTCCAAAGTTAAATCATTATTAATTAATAGTTCCACTGTTTCCCTTTTCCCTCTCCTCTTCTTAGGCTCATGCAAGCTGTTCTTGACCATGCAATTCCATACCTGCATGTCAGAGAAGCATTTGGACAGAAAATTGGTCACTTCCAGGTGAGGCAGAAAAGGAATTTTTGTCCTCTTCTCTCTTTAAAACTGAGAAGACTGAGACTTTGTTGTGGTGGGGGCTTTGCATGGGAGAAGGTGACCTGCTGTTTATGCTGGGGCTGCATTATGTGATAATGAGCAGCCTGGGCTAGTGGAAGGCTCCTGCTCATGGCAAGGAGATGGAATTGGATGAACTTTAAGGTCCCTTCCAACTCAAGGAATCCTGAGATTCTATGATGTGGTGAGAAGGTGGAAAGACCTCTGAGCCTGCTCCCCTGAGGTCGCTGTTGGTGGGTGAGGGACTGTAGCTGGTATCTAGGGGTCTGTGGCTTAGCAGAACCTCCAGCTCCCTCATGTCTGCTGGGTCCATGTCTCCTCCTCCTGTGTCTAGTTCCTCTGAGGTATTTTGGGGAATAGGTGGTTCCCCTCACCCCTGTTAATTAATGTCCCTTGTCTTTGGGCCGTGCAGCTCATGCAGGGCAAGATGGCGGACATGTACACGCGGCTCATGGCCTGCCGGCAGTACGTCTACAACGTGGCCAAAGCCTGTGACCAGGGCCACTTCAACGCCAAGGTGAGCTCAACTCCTACCTGGGCTGAGTGTTCTGGGGCAATTCCTCCAGTCCCAGAGCCTCAGCTGGGGGGAACCTTGGTACAACGAGTCCCCACAGCCCAAAGGGTCTTTTTTTCACACCCAAAATACCTTTTTCCACTCACAAATTAAAAGCAAACCTCCTTTTACAAGGCAGGAGATTTAGCAGCATCAATAGATGTTTATTGGAAGCCCAGACAGATGTCCTGGTTGTTGTAAGGGTTGTAGCAGTTGTTAGAGGTGTTGTCACCTCCACCTGTCACCATGCCTCTGTTGGAGGAGGATGTTGAGTGTTTAACAGTGGGAGCACAGATCTCTGCATCCCAAAGCAAATCATGCTGGTCTCCTGGGGGATTGATGGGCCTTTGTGAGAGAGCCATCTTCTCTGGTGCACTTTTTATATTTTTTCTTCTTCTGTCTTCATGTGGCCTTTGCAGACCTGCTGTGAGTGTTCTATAGTAACAGGGACACTACTGGAGCTCCCTGTCCCTGTGCTTTGTATTCAAGTAGTTCAGGGTTCTTGGCAGGTGTCTGTAGAGTGATGGCAGCATGAGGGCAGCACAGGGACTGGAGATGGGCAGTGACACCTTTCCTGACTGTCCCTTTTGACTGTCCTGTAGGACTGCGCCGGAGTGATCCTGTACTCAGCAGAGTGTGCGACACAGGTGGCCCTGGATGGGATCCAGTGCCTGGGTGAGTCACTGATAGCTGCACAGAGTCAAGCACAGTGCAAGAGCATTTCCCTCTGCTGTCCCACCCTGAAATCAGGGACAAGGAGTGACTTGTGGCTTTTTTTGTGTGGCAGGTGGGAACGGTTACATCAATGACTACCCCATGGGGCGCTTCCTGCGTGACGCCAAACTCTACGAGATCGGGGCGGGCACCAGCGAGGTGCGCAGGCTCGTAATCGGCAGGGCCTTCAACGCCACCTTCAAGTAATGCCACCACTACAGAGGCAGCACCACAACCACCATGAGGCCTTGACCATGAGGCTGGAGCGCACAACTTGGCTTCTTCCTGCCTGCCATTCCAGCTTTGTCACTTGTGGAGTCCCCTCTGCCTGCTCTGGCAACAGATGCTGCTGGATTGGGCTTGGACAAAATGAATCAGAGGGTACATGGAAGAAGTGTTTTTTCTTTTTTCTTTTTTCTTTTCAGGAATCATCCTGATTCATGGTGTTCATGAGCTGTTGATTCTCAATTTTGCAAGGCAGACTTTCATCCCCCCCACCAGACAGGCTGGCAAGGGGTGTGCAGCCACTGCACACAGAAAGTCAACCCAAACCCACCAACATGGACAATGAGGGAACAACTTTGTTCTTACCAAAAAGCCCTGAGTGCCATTAAACAGTTAGAATTTAGCATATTGCCATTGGAAGGTGAAACTTCTACTGAGACCTTCCAATGGGACTATACCTTCCATTATGGGAACCTGACACCAACTATATTGAGGGGTTGTTCTCATGAACACTTAAAGTCATCTGTGCACAAGCAGCGTTTTAGGTGCTGATTCCTAAAACCTCCTTAAATCCCATGTGTGTTGCTTTGCAGAATTCCTTTCCTATTTGCAGCTTTCCTATTTGCAGCTTTCCTATTCTGGCTGCTTCTGGAGTTATTTGGGTCCAGGCCCAAGTCCTTGCTGCGCTGACTGACTGCTCCCACCAGGTCATTCTCTCAGAGTCGTCACCATCCGTCACTCTGGGGACAAGTTAACACATCAGAGCTGTGTTGTGACATCTGTGAATGAAGCAGGCAGAAAGAGCTGATTTCTTTGGGGTTTGGTTCCATCTGAAGGTTGTTGTTTTGGCCAAGCCTGTCCTCACACTCCAAACTGTGGGCAGCTGAGCAATGTGTTTGTGAGTGATCTCAGTGCATCTTGTATCCAGCAAATCAGGGCTTATCCAGCTTTATAAAGGAAATTGTCCAGCATCCTGCCAGCCTTTAAGTGTGAATCACAAATGGAAATGGGCTGCTGGAAATGTGATTGAACAGTTAATTAAACCGTTGCCATGTAGGCAGCTCCCAGCAGTTTTAACAAAACTCACCTTCAACTGTGTGTATTTCTTTGGTTATAGTTGACTCTTGTCTATACCAGGTGACAGTAGACTAGAATTTTAAAATGCCACAGATTGAAGACTGTTCACTTCTCTGGATTGCCAGGTAGGTCACCAAGAGTTTATAAAAGTCACAAAGAGTCAGAAAGAGCTTCTGAAGTCCTGGTGGTAGCACCTTCCTCCAAAGCTTCATATTTATTCAGCCTCAGTGGGTGGCTGTCACTCAGGAAATGTCCCAGGGTTTAATTTTCAGCCTAAATCTCTGGATAGAGGGTGGACAGAGGTGCTTTGTCAGGAATATTTTGTTGACCTGCATCTGAAAATGCTGTGGAAGTGAATCTTAAGGTGTACTTCATAAAGGAGATACTCAGTGCATTGGTGTCCACAGATGTAAGAATTTAGTTATGTGACCAGACATTTATGTTTTGTCACAAAATTAATCTTGGACCACTGTTAAGATGCATTCCTGCCAGAGGAGCTTTTCTAGGAAGTGTCAGAGCCTTGACAGGATGGTGTGAGATTCAGATTGTTAAAATTAGGTTTTCTAAGGTGGAAGGAACCCAGAGATTTTTAAACCTGTCCTTCAGCATTGGAGAGGTCTGGTTTTAATACACATAATAAATAATACCTTCACTTTCCAGGCTGATCAGCACCTTGGAGTTGAAGGTAAAATGAATCAATATCTAACAGATCTTGGGACAGGGGCAGGGACAGATTCGTAAATCCTCAGCAGGGTAGTTTTATTCAAATCTCACTCCCACAGCAGCTGCCTTGGGAAAGGGATGGGAGAGCTTTTTTGGGGAAAAGAGGGTTAATCTTTATACTATACTAATAAAATAAGCTTTTGCTGTGGCCTATGCTCTTGGGGGGGGCTCAGAGGGGAAGTGAAGGCTCTGCTACCCACCAAAGCACATCCAGGCTGGCAGCAGCAACAGCCACGGTGTTGCTTTCCCTGCCTATCCTTCTGTCTTCCCAGCCACAGCTTTTTCCCATAATTCTCATTTAAAATAAATACATTTACAGAGATCATGCAGGCTGTGCTTTAGCTCCTCTGGAGAGCAGCAGAGCTTACAGGGAAAACACAGGGGGCTGTGCTGCTGGATATCATCTGAATGGTTTCTGCTGTTGGTATGTGATGGAAATTGCCCTGGCCTGACAGCCTTTGGCTGGTGGCAGGGCTGGATGTGCTGCATCTTCCCTGTTTTTCAAGATCTTTGCCCTGTTTGCAGCTGGCTGGCTGCTGAGCAGAGAAGGCATGGAGAGCAGTGGGGGGAATTATTCATGAAGATATGCAGTGGGTTGACCCTGGCTGGGTGCCAGGCACCCAGCAAAGCTTATCACTGCCCTCCACAGCTGGACAGGGAGAGAAAATATAACAGAGGTTCATGGGTGAGATAAGGATTGGGAGAGATCCCTCACCCAAAACTGTCAGGCAAAACTGACTCAAATTAGAGATGTTAATTGAATTTATTACTAACAAAATCAGAGCACGATAATGAGATGTTAAAAAAAACCTCAAAAACATCTTCCCTCCTTCCCTTCTCGAAGTCCTCCCCCCACAGCAGCGCAGGGAGACGGAAGTGGTGGTTACAGTCACTTCATCACAAGTTGTTTCTGCTACCGCTCAGGGAGAGGAGTCCTTCCCGTGCTCCAGCTTGGGGTCCCTCCCACGGCAGACAGCTCTCCATGAACTTCTCCAATGTGAGTCCATCCCATGGGCAGCAGCTCTCCATGTACTGCTGAATCGTGGGTCATTCTTCCACAGAAGAATGGGGTCAGTCCTTCAGACTCAGCCTGCTCCGAGGTGGATCCCCCACAGGTTCACAAGTCCTACCAGGAACCCTGCTCCAGCGTGGGCTGCTCTCTCCATGGCTCCGCATGTCCCTGACAGGCATGGCTTTCCTGCAGGTTCACAGCCTCTTCTCAGGCACCCCCCTGCTCCAGTGTGGGGTCTGCCACAGGCTGCAGGTGCATCTCTACACACCCATGGCCCGCTGTGGGCTGCAGGGGGACAGCCTGCTGCACCATGCTCTGTACTACAGGCTGTAGGGGAATCTCAGCTTCCACCTGGAGCAGCTCCTGCCCCTCCTTCTGCACCACACCTTGTTGTCTGCAGGGCAGTTCCTCTCACACATTCTCACCCTACTCCTATCTAGACCCAATTCTATCTGCCTAATAAGTTTCTTCTTCTTAAAATGTCATCCCAGAAGTGTCACCAACATTCCTGATTGGCTCAGCCTTGGCACATCCATCTTGGAGCTGCCTGGAATGGGCTCTGCTGGACATGGGGAAACCTCCTGGCAGCTTCTCACAGAAGCCACCCCTGTAGCCCTCTGGCTACCAAAACCTGGCCATGCAAATCCAGTACAACGTAACAGAGTTTAGTTCAGCAGTGTGGGATTTGGAATGAGGTTCAGTTAGTGACAGGAAAAGAGGGCATAGCCTCAAGCTGCACCGGGGAAGTTCAGGTGGGATATAAAGGAGAGTTTCTTTACAGAGAGTGGTTAGGCACTGAAAGGGGCTGTCTAGGTAGGTGGTGGAGTCTCCATCCCTGGAGGTGTTCAAGGAATGACTGGACATGGTACTCAGTGCTCTGGGCTGGGTGACAAGGTGGGGGTCAGGCACAGGTTGGACTCGGTGATCAGCTTGTGGTAGAAAAGCTGCGCTCACACTGAGCTGGGGCACTGCCAGTGTTTGATCCAGAAACTCAAGGGAAAAGTGGAGGGAAGAGGGGCTTGGACATCTCCCATGTTCTGCCTCATGCTTCCCAGGCCAGAAGGGACCATATATTCCAGTTTTGGACAGAGCTTGAATTTAAACAGAGGCTGTGTTTGGGGGGGCTGCCCACAGTGTGAGGGACCTGTTTGCTTTATGCACACACAAGGAACATGGTGTTAAAATCAGTTTGTGAGGTAAAACTGCTGCAGAGGGTCTGTGGGGCCAGCTGGGCTTACGGCCCCTTTGCCCCGGGAGCCATGGCCCCGTCATGGGGCTGGGCTGTGGTTAAAGCAAATCTTGCCTTGTCAAGAGAGGTCAAACCGCACCAAGAGGTACAGGATGTGGGAGAGGAACTTGTGTTTGCACAGCACCTCAGGCAAGGCAGTGGCTCTCCCCAGTCCTCCACAGGGACCTGGCTACAGTGGTTTACCTCCCAAAAACGATGTCCTGAGCCCCGCTGGGGCTGCCAGATGGGATTCCCAGCCTACTGCATTGCTGTGGGACCACTGTCTTCCTCTCAGCAGCTCCCTGGGGAGCCCCTCTGTCCCCTGCTCTGTCCCACTGCCTGTCCCTCCTGCTTTCTGGGCAGTGGGGAGTGCATGTGCTTGTGCATATGCGTGACAGAGGATGTGGTTTCTTGCCTGCGGAGCTGGTCCATGAGCGGAAGGGAGGCTTTGGTAACCTGTGGGAAGGATGATGTTTCCCTCCCGTGCTGGGCTTTGAGCAATTTCAGTACAGGGTGACACATAACAAAAGTGTCATTGCATCCTGATTTCACTGTACAGAGATGTGCTGAAGCCAAGCCCTACGGTGATGCTCCATCCCTGTTCACGAGTCTCCCTCCTGCAGCCCAGCACGATGTGTTATTCAAAATCCCTGTGTGTTTAGATTCCCGCTCGCCTCAGCCTCCCCGGGGCTCCGGGCAGCACTCGCTGCGGTTCAACGCCGCTGCCGGAGCAGGGACCTGCTGCTGTGTCATCTCCGTGCTGCTCATGTGGGTGATGAGTCGGTCTCTTTCCCAAGCTGGAGTGAGAGCCCACGGAGCCACACGTATCCGCTGTCACGGATGCAGGCAGAGAGGACGCGATCCCTGCATCCCAGCCACTCTGTCCCTGCGTCCTGGCCGGCAGCTGCCCGCTCCTCCCGCACAGCTGTGCCGGCCACGCTCCCTTCGCAGCGAGGCACCCGCTCCTCCCAGCCACGGCACCGCAGGAAGATTAGAAAGAGATTTCTTTTCAATCTATACAAGAATTCACAACTGTGAAGGGGAGACAAAAACATTCTTGAGCCGAGGGCACAATATTGTGCAAGGGAGGCCCGGGGGGGCTGCGGGATTACTGTAGCGCAGCCCAGGGTCGCCCCGCTTGCACCTGCTGTTTGCTGAAAGGCTGATGCTGAGCAACAAGCAGCTGATGCTGAGGCCCAGTTGTCAGCCTGAATGGGGGAAAAAAGGCTGGAGCAGCGTGCTCGCCAAAGGGAAATGGCAGGCGGCCCAGTGCCAGCGGGAGGAGGGAGCCGCCGGGGGGGGGGGGACGGCAGCCGGCTCCCCCTTGGCACGTGGAGCTCCGGGCAGAGCCGGAGGTGTGGGTCTGCCTGAGGAGCTGTCATTCCAAAGGAATCCAGGAGAAAGGGGATGATCCTGAACCTCTGAAGAGGCTGAGGAGGTCGGGAGCATGAGCTCTCCCCAAAGCACCCTGCTGGCTGCAGCGCTAATCTGCCACAATGGGCAGGAGACGGATGTCCCCACCAAACCCGAAACTGAAGCAGCGCTGCTGCAGAGCACCCTGCCCTTGGCCACTGCTGTTCCCCAGGAAGGAGGAAAGGTACTTTTCAGGAAGAATTCCTTCATGGAAAGGGCTGTCCAGAATTGTAATGGGCTCCCCATGGAAGTGGTGGAGTCAGCATCCCTGTAGGTGTTCAACGAACAACTGTACGTGGCACTCAGTGCTCTGGTCTGGTTGACACGGTGGGGATTGGTCACCAGTTGAACTGGATAACCTTTGACATCTTTTCCAGCCTAAATAATTCTGGGATTCTCTGATCCTGCTGTTTCTGCTCACAGCCCCTGGTCTGGTAGGGACAATGACAGTCAGACAGATGTTCCCTGCAGCACGAGGGTCAGAGTGTACTTGGATCACTCAGCATTGTCACCCAGAGGTACTGAGGCACCTTGACCTCTCTGGGCTCTACAATGAGCACTGAATCACCCTGCTCAGCTCATCCATGGAACATCACTTCTACCCCCAGCGCTGTCCACATGGGGCAGGGCAGAGAGAGAACACTGAAGGGTGTCACAGTGGGCTGAGGGGTTCAGCACAAGCACAGCCCCTCCTGCGTGTGGCTGTGTGGTGGCAGAGCTGGGACTGGCCAGAAGAGGGTTTTCCAGGCCTCTGCTGCAGCTGCCTCCCAGAAGAGAGGGCAGGAGTGAGCGTATTTTCCTGCAGCTGTTGGCAAGATGAAGATAATCCACGTGCCCCGGGGGTCTGCAGGATGAAGGGGGCTGTATTGGATCGATGTTCCTCCTGTGAGCCAACCTGTGCCAGGGGCATTAGGAAACAGCCTGTGTCCTCGCTGTGCCTTGTTGCAGAGCTTGGAGCTTCTCCGGAGGGACAGCAAGCCCTGTGTTGGTCTGAAGGAACAGAAAGAATGGTAGCTGCCTGCTCAGTGCAATGCAAAGGAGAAAAGCAAATGGCTATTTTTGCAGCCCAGCAGAGTTCCTACTGTGATTTAGCACCTGGGTACTCCTGCTGGCATGAGGAGAGGGAGCTGCAGAGAGGGGATGGCATGGCCCCATCCCTGCCACGCAGACACACTCAGGAAATCCCCAGGGATGATTTTTTTTGCTTGGGCATAGCTGAAGCTTCCAGCATGGGGAGCCCCCATGCAGCTCCCCTAGGCCCCATTTCCTGAAGGAGCTGGTGTCACGTCAGTGCT